ATCTCCGATATCTCCGACAATATCTTTTTCCTTTTTCCTCTTTATGCTCTCATCCTTCTTAAAAATGATTTCTTTTATATTTCTTCTATTTACATTTTTTTTTTTTCTTTGTTTTAATTTTTTTTTTCATTTGATTTTGCCTATTTTATTTAAACTGTTTCTCATATATTCATTAATTTGTGCTTCTCCTAATATCTACGACTCCCATGATTTCTTCTACAGAATTGTACACCTTTGGTTCTCTTCCTACTCTGTGTTTCTACTCTGGCGGGACCTCTACGCACCCTTCCCATTCCATATCCAGCCCCCTTCTTCCACAGCAGCCAGGCCAGCAAAGGATCGAGGACCATGTGTTCTTCCATGTGGTTCAAATTCGTTCAATTCGTGTGTGCTTAGCAGATAACTTAAATAGTTTTTAATAGGTGGTGGATACATATTTTGGGCTTTTGACTTGTTGAGTGGTTTTTGTCGGGGTCGCCAATTGTGGAACTTAAAATTAGAGAATTTTGAATGCTGTTCGCATGGGAATTAAAGTAAGGTTATACACAATTTATGTATTGTTGTATATTCTAGGCGTAATCTAGATTTCTATTCTCTTCATGAGTTGTGTTTTTTGTTTTAGTTTTTTTGTTTGTGTGTGTGTGTGTGGTGTGTTCATGTATAATAAATAGGAGCAACAAATATATATATATGTATGTATATATAGAGCGTAATTTAAAGCGGTTTTGTCAATCGATTTGTATATACTTTGCAGCCTTTTGTTGAGATTTACTCTCAGTATAGTTCTTTAGTGGTTGGGGGTATTTTGGTTGGTTGTGTGGGGGAAAGAGGGTGTGGTGATTGGGGAGATTGGTTGGTTGGTTGGTGTGTGATTGTATCATGTATCGATTTGTCTGCTTTTGGGGATCGCTTGAGAGCGGCGGCTGTAGCTGGGGCTGTGGCTGTATCTTTGTATCCATTGGTTGGGGGGTTTGGGGGATGTTTAGTAAAGCGGATTTATATACGTATACGAGGGGTTAGATCGATTCAATTCTTAACAATAGTTTGTATATATATACTGTATATATATTCTGATATATATATATATATATATATAAGTGTGTGGGTAGGTAGATATATATATGTATAGGGGGTTTCACAATTATTTTGGGGGTAGAAATTTGTTGTAAATTTTGGTCGGTTAGTAAAATTGGAAAGTAAATAAAGAATAGCGTTAGTTGATCAATTTGTTGGGGGTTAGTTTTTTGTCTCTTCGCATAATAGAGTTCATGTATGTGTGTGCCTGTGTGTGGGTGTTGGGCGGGGATGTGTGTGTGTGAGTGAGTGCGAGAATGTGTGCAATTTTGACTCCTTCGATTTCAAGGTGTGTGGTTTAGTGTATGTGTGTGTGTGTGGTTTAGCTGTGTCTCACGATTGAGTGTGTGTGTGTGTGTGTGTGTGTTGTGGCGTTCTTTGTCTCGTGTGTGTGTGTTCCTGTGTGCGTGCGTGTTGTGGGTGTAGGCGTGATCGTGTGTTTCGGTGTGTTGCTGTGTGCGTGTTTGTGGGGTGGGAACCTTTTTTGCGTTGTAGTATGGGTCTGCCGTGTGACACGCGGAACGCTGGCACGCAGTGGAACGGTTTTTTGCTTAGCTTTTTCTTTAGTTTTCACTCTAGTACTGTGGAACGGTGAAACGGCACGGAACGTAGCGCGCTCGTATGTATGCAATGGTTTTGTTGTTTCTTGTAATGTATGTGTATGTGTCGCATGTTTATGTTTTCTTTTTTCTTTTGTTATGGAGCGGTTTTCTTTCGGTTTTTTTCGGTTCTCTCGTTGGAGCTAGACCCCTACTTATGTATGTATACAAATGCCAATCTGTGCTGCTTTGAACGCGGCTTGCAGCGCCCTTCTAGGGAAAACGAACGGAGGCCTGCTAGTAGGATCTCGGGGTGCGTACTCATTTCTGTATTCGTATTCTATGAGGTTTGATTTGCGGTTCAATACTTGTGGAGGAGGGGGATTCAAGGTGCGCTCAAATTTTCTGTGTGTGTGTGTGTGTGTGTGTGTGTTTGTGGGGGGCTGTTGTAGTGTTGGGTTGTGCTCAAAACATAAGAGGCCAAATTTTGGATACGATCGACAGGACACGATGACACTCGAGTATGTGGGGGCCCAATTTCAATACCAAATTCAATTCGGGTCGAGTGTGTGCGAATGGGAGGGCATTTTCAACTGGGGTAACTCGAATAGGGGCGGTGGGGGAACGGAACGATGATCGCCTTCCCTTCAATCAATAATTGTTAAAAAATGATAATGAATATGGAAAACTCGATTCGAAAAGCTTTTTCATTTGACTTTTGCTTGGGGTAGTGGGCGGTTTTTCGGTTTGGGTTCAAATTTTGTTTCGTTTTGGTTTGGTTTTTCGAGGGTGGGGGGGTTTGGAGTTCTGTTTTTTTGGGGTTTGAGGGTTGATTTTGGTTTGGTTTACTTAGTTATAGACACAAGCACGACGACGTACAAATAAAGGAAAGAGTTCAATATTCAATATATATATATATATATTTATGTAAGTATTTGTATATATTCGATCTTCAAATGCGTTGCGTTTTACGAATAGAAACTTAAAAACGTTGGACACCAATAAAATTTTTATTTGCAAAATGTACTCGGGTGTGTGGTGCGGAGACTCCTCCTCAAAGGATGGAGAAGAGAAGTCTCACTGGTCTGGGAGTCTTGTGTTCTCTTGGTCTCTGGGGGTTGGTTTAGGCTCGGGGCAACGAACGGAATAGAACATAAGGTTACAGAACGGAAGAGAACGCAACGAAATGGTACAGAACGGAACGCAAGAGAACGAAAATGTTTTGCAAACGTAAACTAACAAAAAACCATACAGTATTCAGGGTTATCAAATGATAGTTTGTTTCATATACATACATATAAACTAAAAAGCATTTGCGTGCTCTATCTCTCTCTTTCTCTCGTTGAGAGAATGGTAAACGATCGTTAACGAAGAAGCAGTAGAAAGGGAGGAGAAACGGAGGAGAAACGGAAACAAACGGAATGAAACGTAATGAAACCGATACTAAACGAATTCGGAGAGAGCTGGGCTGGGAACGGGAGGAATGGGTTTAATAAACTGAACGTTCAAAATATTCTTTTTTTGACGTACTTTTGTCTTTGTGTTAAACTCATGTTTTGATATCTAATTAATATGGATGTGTTTGTGTTTGTGGTGGTGTCTGAGGCCGTTTCAATGTCTATGTCTATGTGTGCGTGTTTGGGAGTGGGGTAACTATGTGAGTGTGTGTGTGTGAGTTTGGTGTGGAGTGAGTGCTGCGTATTGCTGTAGTACATTTTGCTGGAGTTTGACTTGGTTTTTTACTTTTGGCGGGGGTCGGGCGGGGGGGGGTTTTCATTACGAATACAAAAAATTAGCACACAAAATGAAACGGAAACAGGAACAAAAAATTAGAAAAGCAACGAAAATTTTGTAAAACGAGGAGAACGTTAAAACGGGGGAAAAGGGAAATTAAACACAACAAATACACGGAAACTATATATATATTTCTTATCTCGTCGTTGCAGTGTGTGTTTTGGGATTAGTTCTGAACTGATTTTGGATCTGGATCTGGATCTGTCAACGCGAGCGCGTGAATGAAAAGCCGGTAAAGCGAGCTCGTCCAAAAGCATTTCCCTACGTTTTTGCTCTAAGCAATAAACACCAATCAACAAATTGAGCCGCAAAAGCCGCAGGACCTTTGACGGCATCTGCGGAGGAGGAGAGGCCTCCTCTCCGGATTGTTGCGGCCTAACCGCAACATACATCATGCAACAGTCCTCCGGGTCTTTGGGGAGTTAATTAATTTTGTGTAGTTCATCAAACAAGCTGGGGATGGGGGAGGGTTTTCTGGTGCCTGTTGCTTGGCCTTGTTGTTGTTTGGTGTTTACTATCTAAACTTGTCTAGAATTATGTTTGCTTAGCAATTATCCTTCTGCATTCAAAATTTAACTGACGAGCGACGCGTGTCGAGTGACGAGTGACAAGTAACGAGTGACTCATCATCGTTCATCGTAATCCTCATCAACATCAGCATGGCGTTTTTGTCATACATAAATAACTTGTGTTTCTAAAAAACCGAGAATCTAAACTGCATTTTGCATTCGTATTTTTTGGTAATTGTGGTATTTCTGTGGTTTATTTTTATTTTATTATTTTTTTTTGTATTTTCTTCGTTTGGGGGTTGTGATATTCGTGGTTTTTGTGTTTTTTGTGTGTGTGACCGAAACAAATGAAAACATTTACCATCGAAACAATCAAACAAGAAAGAAATTTGTACGCTTCTACGACATTTAACTCGACTTTTTTGTTTTTTGTTTTTTTTTTTGTATTTGGAATCGCAAACAAACTGAAAAACGGTTTTGGTAATTAAAAAGGACAGTAGTAGTGGTTCTCTCAATCGACAGTTTCTTGTTGAGCCGCGGTCTGGGGGGCGGGCAGGGGGTGGATCGATCGGTCGTCTCCAAAGGTATAAATCGATATAAATCGAAAGTTAAATCAAAAAAGTCCTGCTCCTGATCAACACGCATACATACATACAAAAGAATGGATGCATGGATGACACTGCCTCTCAAGTCAGTTCGAAAACTCAAACAAAAAATCGAGAGAAAAAACAATAAAAACAAATTTTCAAACAACAAAACGAAAAAAAACAAGAAACTTTAGTTTAAGATCAAAAAATATTATTTTCAACCAAATTTTGTACGGGCATTAAATAAATCTCTCAGCACTTTTTGGGCAAATAGGTTTTTTTTTTGAAAATTGTTTTTTCTTTTTGCTTTTTCTTTGCTTTCCATTTGGTTTTTTTGTGGTTTTTTACTGGTATCTTTCTGGTATTTTTACTGGTATTATTATTTTTTTTTTTTTCGTATTTTTTGCATTTGATGTAAAAAATGTAATAATGAGCTTTTGAGCGCAAATAGAGCGAAACAATAGAAGTACAAAAAATAGAGAAATGCTCGGACTCACCTTGTGGGGACACGGCAAGATCACCGGACTGCTGCAATTGTGTGTTGAGACCTGATCGAGGGACAGTGTAGAGGGACACACAGAGAGTGAGCCGCGAAAGAGGCAAGCAGAAGAGGCAGTGGCAGAGGCACAGACAGAGGTAGACGAGAGCGCAAGAGGTAAAGACAAATTAGAAAGAAAGAAGAGTGTTAAAAATGACGTTTGATGTGGCAGGATCTATGCACCGAATACGCACCAAGCAATGGATGATCGAGATTGGTCATTGGGAAGTTAAAGGCGGCTGCCTGGAACATTTTGTTCTCTGCCGGCGACATGATGAACTGTGGTGCCGCATGATGTGAGGCGAGACTGTCACCGATTTCCTCATCATTACCAGAGCTAGAAAAAAGGCAAGAAATATACCAAAAATTAGTCCCCAAGATCGGGATCATCAGGACGGGGATGAATACCTTAGGGAGCCCTTGCCACCGTCACCGCTGCTCGAGCGATTGGCATCATGCTCGCCGGTGGAGTCATTGCTGTGCTCATCATTGGGATTGGCATTGTTGTTGGAGCACACCAGCTCCATGGGCTCTGACTTGACCTGATCATCGGCGGCGGCGCGGGCCAGGGGTGAGGGTGTGAGGCTGCCCAGTTTGTCGCTGATGGAGATGCCATTGCCGTTGCCATTGCTAGCGCCATTGTTGCCAGTGTTTCCGTTGCCAGTAGGTCCGTTGCCTGAAAGGTCACAAGAGATTGGGTTTAGATCTCGTTTAGGCACGTGCCTCCTCCTGTGTGTCCAGCACTCACGTTTCTCTTCCTTTAGCGGCGGTGTATTGTTGTTATTGTGGTGCTTGATCGTACTAAAGTCAGCCGGCGTCTGCTGGGGCGATGCGCTGCGCGCATGAATGGGTGGCAAGTCCGGGCTGTTGTTGTTGCTGCCACTGCCGAGAGGCAGACCATTGTCGGCGGATCCACGCATACGCTTGAGGGCATGAGAGGTCTCCTCCGCAGCGGCGGCCGCACTGCTGCGGTGCATCATGGCCATGCGCTTCAGAATCTGGTTGTTGAGGTGCGGAGGCAGCGACTGTGGTGGCGGCGGTGGGGAGCCAGCTCCCTGGCGGCTAAACAGTGTCGAGGCGCCACCATCATCATGGAGCGCGCCATGGAGTGGATGTGGATGGGCGTGAGAGTTGAGGGGCGTACGGACGCCGGCATTGGCCAGGTTCTGTATTTGAGCCAGGTGCTGCAGAGACAAGTGGGGGTTGAATTGGGGTCATGCGGGGGGAGGGGGGTTTAAGGGTTTCACTTACGCTATGCGTATCCTCTGCCTGCTGTTGGGTGAGTCCTGACACACGCAGCACTTCGGCTGTCTTGAGGAAGGACTGCAGTGACTTCTGATGCACATTGACCTCTCCATGATATATGAACTCCACCAACGAATGCAGATCCATGAAGTTCACATCCTGCAGGAGTATAACAGGATGTTTGCAGGGTGTGCTCTGAAGAGAGATGAAGAGATGGGAACGGACAGTTAGTGGCTTGAATGATTCATTTGGCAATGGAAGAGGAAGACCCTGCCCAGACAACCTTCAAATTGTCGCCTGAAAATGTCACGACTCGATTTGAAGTCCGTTTTTTTTCTACATTCATTCGGTCTCAGCTTCTGCTTTTCAGCTGCTGCTGCTGCTGCTGCTGCTGCTGCTGCTGCTGTTGCTGTTGCTGGTGACATGCCCCATGTGTGTGTTCAGGGCCAACGCATTCCAGTTTTCTCTCTGTACCCCATTCCCTTTTTGTGAGTATCTGTATCTACATATGTTTGTATGTACTGGCATGCGTGTATCTGTGTATCTGTGTATCGGTGTATCTGTATCTGCGAGTGTGTCTGTATGCTTTGTAAATTTTCACTTATCAAGTGGAACTCCAACAAAGGGAGCTGCTGGGCTGTTTCTGCTAGAAATTGGGTCAAGTCTCTCTCGCCTCGGATCGTCGCATCGCACATCGGGCATCCCGGACGACGCTGACGACTCCGTTTGTATCTGTGTATCTTTGTAGCTGTGTCTTTTGGTGTGTGTTTCTGTGTGTGCTCGTCTTATTTACTGCCGCCTTGTGCAATTCGCATATTTGCGATTGAGTTAGCGCTGAAAGATTGCCTGTCTGTTTGAGTGTGGTGTGTTGTATCTATATCTGTGTGTGAGGTATTTTTTTTTTTGTTTTTTTTACAGATTGTGAAATTGAGGTCAGTTCAACGAAAGACGACGACAACGCAAGGAACGATCATCAGGCAGCAACGCATGCGAGCAGTCAGCCCCCTATTTCCTGCGCCTCCCCCTTTCCAATGCATCTGCCTGCACTTGAGATACTCGCACTTTGAGATACTTTCCCTCCATCTTTGCACTTCTTGGACACATCATGCAAATGAAGGGGGACAGTGCCAGCGGCAGTAGCAATGGTAGTTTGCAGTTGCTGACAGTTTACATAAAAGCCCAAAAAATGCTTTTAGCAAATGCCAAGCGAACCCATTAACCCCACCTTTGACCCACCTCCCTCTGGGGCCCTCGCTTTGCTTCTGTTCTCTGTTCTCTGCTGTTCTGTTGTCTGTGTTGTTCTGTTGGCAGTTTTTACACCTAATTAAAATAATGCTCTGCAGTTAATTAAATATTTATGCATAGGCGCAAAGTCGCGAACAATTGCGACGCCAAGTACCAGTGCCCCTCCCCAATTGGATGCTGGATACTGGATGCTGGATGCCCCTTCTGCTGCTAGAAGGATCTGCTGCTGCTGCTGCTGCTGCTGCTGATGCTGCTGCCTGGGCCCAGAGCCAAGTGTCTTCTCACCACTGCCCATCGTCCAGTCCAGTTTGTCCATTGAGCTGCTGCATTTTGTTGCCCCGAGACTGTCTCTTGTTTGGGTGCTGTGCCCCACCGCGCCCCTCCCCCTGGTGTTGTTTTGTTGCATGTATTTCAAATTGAATTTTACAAAAGTTCTGTTGCCAGCAAAGTTTTTTGTATACTAATTTCTTGGGTACATAATTTCCACCCAACAAAAACGACCAAACAGAACAAAAAACGAACGAAAAAAAAACAGAATCAAGAAATGCCCCTAAAAGGAGGAGAAACTCAAGAAAAATGCAACTGCGACCCTTTGTTGCACGTTTGCTGTTGTGCCTGCCCCCTCCCCCTGCATTTAGTTTGCCTTTTTAACAAATTAAATGCCGACTTTTTCTGTTGTTGTTTGGAATGAGAGCAGGAGGGAGCACCAGGGAGGATCTTGCAAAACTTTCACGGAGACAGGAGGGAGGCAGAGACACAGAGACGCGGAGACGGAGACATGTTCTTGTTTTCAGAGTTTCAGTTCAGAGGGCAGCGGCATGCCCCTCCACTGCCGTTGCCATAGCCGTGTTACCATTGCGTAATCAGAGTCACCGACTGCCTCGGCCCCATGCCCCATGCCCCATGCCACTGCCACACCGCTCTCCTAATTGCAGTTCTTCTCGCTTCTCGGTGCAAACAGAACTCCTTTTATACCCTTACTCCTGGACAGAGAAGTAAGGATTTCGCCTATAAATTATCTGTCGTTTCAGTATCCGTATCTGTGTCTAGAAGGTATCTGTATCGGTATCTATGTCTGTAAAGGTAAGGTATCAAAGCAAAGTGCTTTTATTCATATTTACAACATATACAAAGCCTCCATATCCCTCGATAGGCACAATATCTGCTGGCAGGAAGGGAACGAAACGGAAAGGAATGAAACGCTGGCTCTGCAAAGGGTATCCACTCCGTAGGCTCGCGACCCTAAGATACTTGGCTTTCCATTCCTCTCATTCCTATCTCTCTCTCTCTCTCTCTCTCTCTCTCTCCCCCTATCTTCCTATCTTTTCTCTTTCTCGGCCGTGCGCATAATTTGGAACAAAAACCGGCAAATAATAACAGAAGAGTACGGAAAGGAACGGAACAGAACGTAACGGAGAACGGAAAGCACTAAGTTTTCTATCATGTTAACAAATCATGTCGAAGGACGAAACAACGATGGGCGGTATCCTTGAACGAGAGTAAGAGAGGGGGGGGGTACACTCTTTGTAATTTATATAATTTCTACTGCAGCCCCTGCCCCACACTGCCACACCATTGCCCCAATGACAGCTCCGTTACAATGCAAATGGCAAACGTTGCTCTTCCTCTCTCTCCCTGTCGCTCTCTAACTAGCTGTCCCTCTTCCACCAAAAAACCGCAATTGCGTGCAAATATTTTCAATGCAGAGGGCTGTGTGGCTGCCGCAAAAGTTTTTGGCGGGCAAATGTCGACGAACAACAACCGATTCACATAATTTTAATGTCATAATAAAAATAATGAAGCAAAGCTGCAGAACCCCCCGAGGGAGAGAGGGGGAGGGGGAGCAGTGAGCAGGGAGCAGGGAGGGTGGGAAGAAGGAGGGACTGCATTAGTTTGGAAGTTTACTTTGGCCTGCAACTTGGGGCCGCAGAAACTTCAAGGATTAGCAGGGCAGAAGCCACGGCAATGGAGTCGCCCGGTGGCAGGAGAGGCAAGCCACAGGACTGGGATCCTCATGCGTTGTTGCATGATCAGGCGACACAAATCAATCATACGTAACGTGGCCCCCCCTCCCCAAGCAGTTGTGAGAGAAGGATGGTTGGAAGCAAGGAAAGGACATTCCAGCAATCGACTAATTTACACCACAAACTGCCACAGAAACACCGCGCGGAACCGAAGGAAGGCAGAACTTTACGACATGTTACGGACTGTACACACAACTACTTCCTTTCTTATGTGCTGCCTTTCGTGTCCCCCTTTCTCGTGTCTATCATGGTTGTTGCGGTTCTCCTGCCTACTTTCGTGTGCAACTAAATAAATAAAAATGCAAACAGAACGCAGTCTATGGGCCGTGCCACATGCTGCCAACTGCTGCCGCAGTGAGTTCCCTTCTATAATGTTTTTTAGCTAAAAGGCACACAAGCGACACCCCATTTTCCACCCAAAGAAAACAGGAAAAGCCAACATGAGGACCGGAAAACGCTAGGCAAACTGGCTGTAACCTCTGCGGGAGGGCAAGGGCAAGGGGTACCAGCAGTCTTCAAATTTTCCTCATCTCTTGGGCTCCTTTTTGCCTTGAATGTCCACTAATGGGAGGAGCTTTGATGATTGATTCCCAGTGGATGTCTAGATGGTTTCCTTTCCGTCAAGTGACTCACAAAATGTATCTCCATCTATAGATACATGCAAATGCATTTGAGATCCCCCAACCCCCAAACTGGAAGGCAATCAACGGCTGCTGCACATGTGTTTGGCATGGCAGATACAAAAAAAAAAAGAGGAAAACAGAAAATGGCAGTGAGAGTGAGAGTGAGAGTGAGGATGCCAGACAACTCGGCTGACTGGGTCAATCTCTCGCACTCACAAAGAAGGGAAATATCAGAGATCTATAGAGAAAGAGACGACGACTCACCTTCAACAATTCGCGGAAGTAGGGACTGCAGGCGGAGAGGACAACGCGATGCGCCTTAATGCTGCGCCCCTCACAGGCGAGGGTGACATCCACAAAGGCCTCATCGTCGCGCAGATTCTCAAATGCCGATGTGATGCTGCTCTGATAATTATTCCAACGGAGACAGAAGTGCTGTGTGTCGTCCATTTTGCTTTGATAATCCTGTCCCTCAGCTGTGTCCGGTTTGGGTGTGGGTGTGGGCGTGGGCGTGGCTGTGGGTGTGGGCGTTGGTGTGGGCGTGGCAATCGGTGTCAATGTGGGTGTCCGACTGGGGGTGGTGGTGGTAGTGGGTGTATGGATTGCTAGTGTTGGTGTTGCCTGCCGAGCGTTGTGGTCGTTGTTGTGGTTGTTATTGTTGTTGTGATCGTCGTCAACCGACACAACGCTGGCCTTCTTCGAGGTCACCTTCTTGCGTATGTTGGCGGCTGTTAATTTGCCCCCTTTGTAGAAAGGTAGGGCGACTTTTGGGTCCCGAAAATGCGGGCAATATCTTCTTTCTCTGGAGCTGTTGATACTCGCTCTTTATTCTCTGTATTCTGTGGGTATTTGTTGTTTTTTCTCTTAATGTTTATTGTTTAACTGCAAGGAAAGAAAGTTTGGAATTAAAACAAGGCACAGATTGGATTTCCATTAGGATTCGAATATTGTAAACATGTACAGCCCCAGGTTTCCTTAGGGCACATTCAGGCGTTGATCTGCTGTAAAAATTGCCCATAAGCGAGCGGACACTATTTAGCGGAAGCTACGATTTGATTCCAGAATTAACTGGACAATTTTCTTTGCTATATTAGAATATAAATGCAAGAAAATAGAAGAACAATTCTAGAAAATACTATATAATTAGTAGAATACAAATTGGCTTGCAAATGTCACCAACTATTCCAAACCCCCTCTGAGGGCACATTTTCTGCTGCATTTGCGTTAAATTTCCGCATTTGTTTGCTGCTTTTTCCCCCAGCCCTCTCTCCCCATCTCAACCTCTCTTTCTGCTTCGCAAAATGTACCAAAAATTGTTAACAAATGCAGTTTAAAATGTCAACCACGGCGACGACGCATTTTCGTCGAGCAGTTTTCTATGTCACACGGTAAAAAAAAAAACAAAAATCAAAAAAACAAAAAAAGCACAAAAAACTATCTGCAAGACAATTAGCCGAGGGAGGAGCAGAACGGGGGGCAGGGTGTCTGCAGACAGCGCAAAAAATTTATAACGAGTGCAGAACCACCGAAAGAACAGAACAAAGAAAGAAATGTGGAAAAAAAAACAAGGTAAAAGTGAGAAAAAGAGCAAACGCATCGCAAAAACGGGAGGTAAAAAATAGTATAATTATAGCAGAAACAAATACAAAATATAACAAGCATAAGCATATAACACTTGTACTCCAGAAAGCAGGGTGGGAGGGAGGAATTGTGGGAATGGAGGGAATGCTAGAATGAGGACAGCAGGCACGCATCGCTGATCGCTGCAGGAAGAGAGAGAGAGAGGGAGAAAGACACTATGCAAAAACAAAACCAAACCCAAACCCAAAAGCAAACGCAAATTTCATTTGAGCACCGAAAACTTTTGCTAGCATTCTCCTCCCTCTCTCGCAATGCCAGTCCGCTTATCGCCAACCGCGCAACGCAGCAAAGCTTTTTTGTTGTTTTTCCACGACATTGAAAGTGAAAACTATTAGATAAGTCCGACGCGAGCGGAGAGCACGCGGTAGAGTGCGCTGCACTTTGTAAAGCTGTCCCACGCACACACACACATACACACACACACACAAACACAAACACACAGCAAAAGCTCATGCATATAAAAATAGCACCACTGACAGACCAGAGCAGAGAGCAGAGCAGAGCAGAGACAGCGCTGCGCAGCTTAGCTCAAGCCAACGGTTCTTTGTCTATGGGAACGCGCACACACACACACACATGGAAGACGATACCGTCATCCTATCATCGTATTCCCGACCGGCTCCACTGACTGTCACCCCTCGGCTGGTGGGGAATGGGGGATCTCACCTTTCTCTCCAATTGGATCTTCATCAAACCGATCCTGTTGATACCCTTTTTTTGTGGGTGGGAAATTCCGTTTGAATTCCAAACATTTTTGGTGTGATTTTTGCAGTGGTTGAAAATATCTGGGGATTTCTGCTGGCGTATACGCAATTTTAATGAGATCTTTTATTTCGGTTTTGTTTATTTGTTGTTTTTTTTTGGTCACCCAAGAAAATGTACAAAAAAATGTATTGTATTGAGAAGGGGGCACACACACACACGCGCGCGAGTATAGGGGGTTGGGGATGTTTTTTAGAATTGAAACTACAGTGGGACCAAGACCGTAGCGAACCGAGCGACCGACCGAACGAACCGATGCAAAAACACTAAAACTAAACTATTTGAACGATTTCATCGAGAGCTGTGTGTTACGGGGGTGAGGAGGAGGGGCGCAACCGCCCAGGGCTGGATTGTGGACACCAGAATCTAGGATCGGATGGAGGATCATCCGGCGGGCGGAGAGAACGAGCGAGCGTCGTGTGGAGAGCGTTCTGCGTTTGAGGAGGTCTGCGGTAGACTGAAGGCACGCTGCTGCTGCCTGGCATGCCAGAGGACTGGGGCTGCTGCTCTTGCCGCTGCTGATTTTTTGCTGCTTGCTTGCTGCGTTTGGCGACTGCAAGCGTATAAACTCGACTGAATTCGCGCCGAAGAAGAAGAGAGTGCCCGACTCTGCCACTGCCACTGCCACTGCCACTGTTGGCTCTGCGTCTGCCTGGCCAGCAGCAACGGCAGCGTCGACGCTGACAACGGCACCCGAAAAAGCGCATTAGGACACACACACACATGCGAAACTATCCAACGAAATTTCGGCAAATTCTGCTTCTGCTGGAAGAGAGCCAGAGAGAGCCAGAGAGCGAGAGCCAGAACGCGCGCAAGCTCTGTTGGCGTTTCGGCGTCGCAGGCTAGGCGCGCAGACTGCCCAAAGGATTGGCCAACTGCCAGACAGGGATAGCACCAGGGACACACACTCTTGTCTGTGTGTGTGCTTGTATTTGCACCTGGAATCCATCTTGAACCTGGGCCGCGACAGGCGACCGACTGCGGCCGTGTTAGAATGGAAGAATTCCCAGACGCAGCACGCACACACACACACACACGCATACACTCAGAGGCGCACGCTGCCTGCAGCGACGCCAGCAGCTTTTTTGGCAAAAAAAATCCAGCGTCAAAGCGTCCAGCTTTTCTCTCGCTGCCTCTCTCTCTCTCTTTTGCTCTCTTGTTTAGAGTCGGAGGCAGATTTTTGTGCATAGAACGCGCCGCAGTCGCTGCTCCCGGTGTCTGTCTCTGGCTCCGACACTGTCTCTCTGCCAGCGTCGCTGCCATCGCTGACTAATAACTAATAATAATGGCATGGCACGGCAATGGTAACAGCATAGACAGGGGCAGAGGCAGGCAGACGCAAAGCCGTCTCTCCTGGCGCCACTGACACCTCCGATTGTACAGGAATGGACTGGACTCCAGCAATTGCCTCCAATTACGTTCGCCCCGATCGAAGGTCTCGCCTTGGGCTCGCGTTACCAGCGACACATGGGAAGCACTCGCATTACTATTCCCGTCTGGTGGTCGACTGGTGGACAGGAGCAGCCGCGCCGTGGGAAATGTCTACAAGGGCTGTGGGGCAGGCATCGGATTGGATCCCTAATAGATCATTTCACCGTTCCAGTGAAGCGGAGAAGTGTATAGTAATAAATTATTCGTATTCTGTTATATTTCCTCACTGCATATAACAGATCGTCAGTCCGACGCTTTCACACACACACACAGCACACACACGAACACAGGCGCCTGCCTGCATGTGTGTGGTAGTGTGGCCGTAGTGTTTACGAACTTTCAAGGCTAAATACTACATTTCTGTTGTTGTTTTTTGTATTTTTTTGTAGCTGTATTATTATTAAATTTTGTTTGGCGCATTTCGCCAAGTGTTCGTTCTCTCTCCCGCTCTCTCTCGCTTTCGCACATTCGCATCCCACACTGCCGCCGTCTGCTGCGACGCCGACGTTGCCGCCGCCGCCGCCGCCGCCGCCAGCAGCCTTCAAAATAGTTCTAGAAAAAAGTTGATTTCGTTGCAGTCGTTTTTTTTTTGTTTGCTTTCGGGGGTCTCTCTCCCGCACACACACACACTCGCACTTCTGTTTGTGTGTGAGTTGCGTTTAAATAAAAGCAATTATTTGGGTGACTGCGCTGTAGCTTATAAAAAAAAACAGGAACCAAAAAATGAGATTAGATAGAGAAGTAGTTTATTCAGCTGGAAACTAAATTGTATAATACTATTAAAAATAGACCAACACCAACACATGCTTATATCCGATCCGATCTGGTTCGAGCTCATTATGACATTCCCATTCCCATTCCCTCCCCACTCCCACTCCCAACCAACCCCACTGCTCCACTACATCTTCATAGATCTAGCAAATTGATTAGCTTCTCGCACTTTTTGGTTACCTCTCTCTCGCTCTAACCTCCATAAAATATGCGCAATGTTAGTGTTTGCAGCAGTGCTGCCCACTAAGCTTTTTCCGGTACAATTTTTTGTTTTTGTTTGACAAATTTTCATACAAATTGCGGGCCTTAATTCCTAGTGTTTCCTAGCAGTGCTGCCAGCTTTTTTTATGTGTTGTTTTCTGGCTTTTTGTGTTCTTCAGAAAGCGGGAATTGTTGTTTTTTATAGCTGAAATTTAGTTCCGTATTTTATTCAGTCGCTATTATTTGCGGGTAAAAACTTAAGTTCTCTGTTTTTGCGCATCACTGGCACTGGCACTGGAACGTCCGCAAACTTGTTTGCCGCCCTCATCGCCATTCTCTCGCCCCCCCTTCGCCCAAGCTTTGCGCTCTCTCGCGTGTCTATTCGCGCTCTTCTATTTCTACTCCTACTTCTCTATGCTTTTTTTCCATTCCTGGCTTCTGTCGGCGGGTCGGTCCGCGTGCGCGCGTGTGTGCGTTTGTTTGCTTTTTCTTTCTTTTTTGTTTGTCCGAAAACTTTTGCGGATTTCTTTTGACTTTGCTTTAGCTTTGGCATTCGTTGTTCCTATCGTTGTTGCCCGTCCGTGTGTTGCTGTTACTGTGTGCGGTTTCTATTTTCAAGGTTAGGCGATTTAGTTCTGCACACACACACGCACACACACACGCACACACACGAACTTACTGCCTCTGCCACTGCCTCTATTCATTTATGTGTGCCTAAGCGGATTTTAGTTGGTGCTATCAGGTCGGGTATCATTCCGCCATTCGACATTCCCACCTACGACAGTTTACAAAACATTAAACAAGGTCAGTCCACATCAACATCCACACAAGGCCCCACATGCCCCCATCGGCAACCACATCTACATATTTACACGTCATACATACACACTTGCACGCGGGGCCCAATGGGGCGACAGTTCCACTTGTTGCCGGCTAGACGCTCTGGCGCCCACATCGTACACATTTCCCACCCCAGCCACCACCCCTTCCGCGAAGAGGAGAGAAATGCCGGCCAAATGTAAAATCTAACGTCCAAAGCACACACAAATCCACACACACACACGTGACGAGTGGCA